TGCTGTTTCCATTCGACAAAACACAACATTAAATGATTTAGAAAATATTAACCAACATCAAACAAAAGGTTGTTTGGAAATTTTTGAGTCTAATAGAATATAATTAGAAGATACAATGTGCCTTATTTAGTTGGCGTACTTGATGTTACTGTGATAAAGAGTATCTTCATTAGAATGTCTTCTCTCGTGACGTCAAATTTTATGTAGTTTTATTTGATTATGTTCGTTGCATAAAAACGTCTTACTCCGCCGAGTGTGATAAATTATATATCTATTTTACTGTATTTCGGATATTATTTGTTTAAAATTGAACAATTTGAAAAAAATGATGATCAAATATCTTATTGTATATCATTACGCGTTTAATATTTTCACTTTTGAAGAAATTGTGTCAGCTATATTTTTCGATTTGTATTTTGGGGAAATGTTATATATGTATATAAGTATATCCGTCTTGAAACGTATATCAAAATATGTGAAAAACATATGATACAGATAAAGAATTCACGTTTGAAATATTATATGATTTTAAGCTCCTTATTCCCATTTAACGTCAGTCTCCTCCTAAGTTTCAACATTTCAAATCGTATTGTCAATGACGAATCCTAGAAGGACAAATTAGCTGTACAATGCGGTTTAATGTATTGTTTGTCTCTACTGTTTCTGAAATCTCAAGTTTCGGAACATTTGCTTCAGATCGGTAATGTCTATTCTAAATTTCAAATTGACATATCCGCGTCATTATAACAATTACAGATATTTAATGGATATGAAATAAGAATAATTATCTATTTATTTTTTAATATTATTTTCCGTCATTAACAATTAAGAAATCAATCAATCAATCAGCCCCGTCATTACTCCAGATATATCCAGATGTAAATTTTAAACGCTATCACGTTAATTGCTATTAAATTCATATCAATTAAGAGTTATAAATGGAAAGAAGTATTAAAAGTCTACACTAATCAGCTGATATTCTATATTTGTACATAAGATCTGAACAAAAGAAAGTTAGAAATAACAGCGTTTTCTAATTTGTATATGCAACCATATCAATGGCCAAATAGATATGAGAATAAGGCCGTTTACATTACCACGCTTTAATCCAGTTGTTTGATTCTATTAATAGATAAAATAGAGTTATTCGCAACAGTAAATAAAACTCTCGTTTAGTCGGCAACATAGACTAATCAAAGTGAAAATTTGATTAAAGCATAAATCGGTTGCAATTTCTGGTACAAATCATCACGTCGTGTTTCATGCAAAGTTTACTCATTCATCACTGGAAATTTTCATATCATTCAAACGTTGTTTATTGACAAATGCATGCTATCTACAGATTTCTATACCATTTTACTAACATAAATCTACAAAATTATTACGAAGAATTGTTTCACGTTTATCATTACAATCGTGTTAAATCTCTTACAACGGCGATCTTTAGTTATTAAAAAATTTTGATATTCTGATTAATGATGTTATATAGTAAGTTTTACAAACTCATAAAGTTTCAAACTCAGTAATTATTGTCAATGAAGCCTCGATTGATCGTAGGGTCTTTTGTTTTGAATTTTGGTCTTTTTCTTTTATTTGTTACTTCAGAGCAGTTACTTTAATGTTACCTTTATAGGGATCGTTTCTACAAATTTATCTACATAATTATTTCAATACTTGATGGGAAATCTTCGCGTGTTCTTTCTTTATGTGTAGAAAATCCCTCACTAGTTATATTTCCCTTATCTTTAAAACTCAAATAGTTATATTTCATTATAGAGGATATATTTTAATGACAAGTTTACTGGTATCTGATAATAATAAGGCTTTTAATTTTCTTTAAATTTACACATCGAAAATATTTCAAATCTGACTTTTTGTCAGGTTACATGTACCAAATATTCTCATAGTACATCAGTTTCTAATTATTCTGGGTTGTCGTTAAACACATGATGAGAATGGATTTGTGGGTTGCCATCTAGACACAATTGGCGATGGTTTTTGTTGTCCAAAAATAGACCTCCAACTACAAATATGTATTTTAACTGCTGTCCATACTGTTATGGATACGCTTTTAATTTTTTTTTCTTCACTTACTCTCAATCGTCAGTCGCTCGTATGACTGTATCATGAGGAATAGGAACTTTGTATACTACCTTTAACTAAGATCAGATTCTAACACAGCCAATTAAGTGAGCAAATTTCATGGTAAAAAAACACAATTAAGTCATACATGCTTAAATCCTCATCATTATACTGATATATCAGGGATAATGAAAGACTGTGAAATTGACACGCCGATATCAACTTTCGGGTTGCCAATATATATACATTGAAGGTCGACTCGCTAATAAAGGGAAGCAACTGCGTCGTGTCTGAACTAGATATATTACTGTGAACAGGATGAGATAAACAAAATATATAAACAGCTGATAAAGCAAACTTGATTTTTTTGTTCTGATAAACGTAAATGGTCTTCGGCATCCTGTATCTATACCATCTAAGTAAAGAGTCTTGCTTCAGAATATGAAATGAAAACTCGTTTGAAATTTTATGTACATTCGTGTTTAGTACATTTCAAAGACAATGCGTTTTGGCAATAAAGATTTCTACATGTAATTGAACTAGCTCACTAGTAAGAGCACATGGGTTTAAGTGATTTCAATTTTCTAAATTGGAATGATAAAAATTATGTGCTACTTCTTCGGAAGATTTCACTTATTTCGTTATCACTACCATTTGACAACTGAATGCCAGCGTTAGTGCTGTTTGAGAGCGAAGACCAATTACACGTGCTAAGGGTTTTCGGATTATTAAGATGTTGGCTTCTTACAAAGAGCTTAAACACCTTTGCTTGTTTGACTAAATAATTTACATTAAGCTAACGTATAACATACTTTTGTTGTAATTTTTTGTGAATCCATCACGGTAGTTGTGTTTTTCGCACTGGTAAATTACTTGATATTTAAATCATTATTCAATATGATGACACAGTTAAAAGGAAAACAACAGCAAGAATTTATCACAGTAGTTTGGTGTCTGTGCACATGTTTATTGATCAGGAATTGGCAATTATGTCTTTGATGTTTAACTTCTGAAAAAAATAATCATATTTAGAATGTTAAAGTATGCTTCGAGAAGAACTATTTACCGTTACAGTGTACAAAATACAATATCTTACATTCAATTCATCATTGTTGTAAAATTCAGGAGTACAAATATACTGTTACGACTTTAAGAAACCCTAATGATTGTTGATGTCTAAATAAGGCAAGCGTTTGTCAAAAGCATTGCAAATGCTGACTGATTAAAAACATCAATTAATAAACAAGATATTTTGATTTTCCCTAAGTAATTATTTAACACATATTGTATCACCTAAAGCCGTTCTTTAAGTCAAGGCAACATAACAATTAAAATGCAAAGCAAAAAGCACAACCCAATTCAACACATGTTCAAGATTATTTTCATTCAAATGGAAATATCATTATCAAATTTGTACAAGGGTAACAATTCTATTATACTCTGAATAATTGTAACAAAATATCATTAAACAGTCATAACCAACAAATACAAGTATGATAACAAATTCTGATAAATATTTTGGTTTTGTAATAAAAATCCGGCTACTGATCATGTGACACCTGGTTGATTTTCAACATAGTGCTTCGTGATAAGTGAACAGGAAGGAAAATGACTATAATGTGAAAGGCGTGAACAATTTAAATGGCAAAAGTATCACATTTAATTATAATAATGTAGAATGTATAAAGTCAATGCAAACGACATATTCATCGCCAAAATTTTAAAAACACATTCAACCAAGTATTGGTCTTATAACCACCTATATCTAAATTGAATTGATTTCTCGTATTATTATCAAAAAATCTGTCTACAAAGGAAAAGAGAATTATCAATGAGAATCTATTCTTATGCAATAAATACAATGTAATATTTCAGAATGTTTTGTTTCACTAACAGCCTACCTATTTTTCTAATAAAAATTGTTGTTCATATATGTGTATGCATGGCTAGTTTACAGCATGCCTACAGAATTGTCAACTGTTTATTCAAATATAACAAATTATTTTTACCTTGTTCGTAGGGTAAGTTTTTAATTCTTATAATAACATGAAGTGCAAGGCGTTTCAGTACTATCAATACTTTTTTCAAACTAATTTGGTTTGGTTTTATTTCTCTAAGGAAATTGATCTAAAAGTTCAAGTTTTTTTTCAAAAACACAAAGATCCTGCTTGTATACAGGTTAGTAATTCACAAACGTGTAATGATAATAAATTACTAATACAAAAACATGTAAGACATATACAATTGTTCAAACAATAGCAAGCGACTGATGCTGGCAAGTTTACATGTAGCAGGTTCACAACCGTTCTGGAAAGAAGCTTCAAGGCAAAAAAGAATTTGATATCTGTTAAACGTATGCATTGGTCTTCCAAGATAAATTCTGTGATGAATGTTTTAAAAATCGAATATTATTAAAAGTTATTCAAAATGAGAAAAAAATAATATGAGCATTCACCTTCTTATCCAACAATGCAATTCACTGTAAACAATATTTAAATGAAACCGTAAACACGAAATCAATTTTGAACAAAATTTCCGCTTTTTCGTTTATTCATAGAACCCTTTTTAAACATCATTCCAAAGTAATCTTTGTGTTCACTTATTTACAGTTTTAAAATCCTCTTCCATGATTATTTCATATTTTCCACGCACATTTAACTGCCTAATCCATACACCAGGCATTTTTTATGCTTTTACATTCATGTCAAAGTATATTCTTATACTTGTCATAAATTAAACTACTTATCCAGTTTTAGTTGTATGTAGACAGTAAACAGTATTCCTACAACTTAAAACAGGTTAGAATACTTCTGATCTTTTTCTTCTGTGGATATTCGGTTCTTCTTAATGAACTCAACGACTTTGTATATCCCTGACATTCACAGTATAAATCATAGCTTTCTGTCGTATGTTGTTCATCATACCCTTTGCAGCTCAGATCGTTCTCGCTGTCTGGATTTAAAACAAAATCGACAACATTTGGCCCTTGAGGATTCTCGCACTAGCTCGTCCAAAGTCATACACAGAGCTGCCACAAGGAAAAAGAAGGCACCTCCCCACCCTAGTCCGTAGCCCGGCCCATACAGGTGCACTTCAATGGTGGGATCCAGTTCCATAACGGTAGGGTATATAATTAAGGCAATGCCTACACTGAGAGCTGTAAACGGAAAAGTAACTTCCATATCAATAAAAAAAAATAAAATCATCATAAAATTTGATAAGTAAACATTGCAATGTGCTAATGTTCTATTCTTCAGAATTAAGAGAAAATCACTGTCAACTTTTTTATTTTATGAACTAGGGTAAAAGTATCGACAATTTGAACAATAACAAAAACTTTTTAAACATTTCGCCTGTCGCTGAATCAATACCTAGATGGCCTTCTTAGGATATTGAACCACTCAAAGGCAACTTGAAGGATTTCATGACATCTAAAATACCATACAAATATACTGCATTTGTCATATTCTGAAAACTTATTAAACATGATGTCAGAAGAAGCACCAGTAAATACAGAATCAGGTAAGAGAGGGAAAAAATTTACTCAAAATTTTACAGTGAAATTACTTCAAATTTCCACAAATTTATTTTACGTGTAGTCTATTTCATCTTTTTAAATTATTTGCCGTATTTACTTAATTTAGAAAATTAATTGTTAAAGAACAATTCTTGTTTTTATCATTTCTCAAAATTATTGATTCGAATATTTCATAGCATCCTCTTGGCCTTTTATTTTGAATCCCATCATATTTTCGATAAATCTGTGAACACTACAAACAAATGACGAGTGTTAGATACATACAACAATATCGAGATAAACAAAATCGATATTTACAAGTATAAAAAGAATATATTATGTACGTACCACACACAAGGAAAATTTCTCCTGCGGAATGGAAGTAGTAGATTTTTCTGGGTAAAGGAGAAGTACACACGCCCAGTATAGCAAGGATTGTGGCCACAAATCCAAAGGATGCAGAAAATATCATCAGACCTATCACAGCGGTCTGCCAGTCTGAAATTACAAAAGGAGATTCACTGAATATTACCACAAATTTAAATTCATTGTACGTCGGTGCATGATGGACCATTAACAGAAATAAGACAAATTTGCTGCCTTTTCTTCGTTAAAAGAGCCAGATACATTTTCGCAAAACTGAAAGAAAAAAAGAGTATGCTACCTTTAAACTCTGGGAAGCAGTTTTCCTGATTCATAATTTGTTCTAGGCTAGGATACATTCGAAAATAACTTTCCACAAGCTATATGTATGAGTATGTATATGTGTAGCATATAAGGTATTTCTTAAATGCGAAACAGAAATGATAAAATAATGTTTGCCTCACATAGCTTACATATAAAATTAATAATAGTCCCATATGGAGAAATGAGTTGGCAATCGTTGCCTAAAGATAACAAGAAAATGCAAAGATTATAAACTTTGAACTTTTTTTTTTTTTTTTTTTTCTTATAAAAAAGCATTTACGATTGTACAAAATACACAGTGATAAGCATCTTTCGATACAAATTTATATTAGATAAAGTGAATTCAACTTCATCACACAGCTGTTTCGTCCTTCTAGGACTCGTTCATGACATAAGTTGACAAAGAATTAAACTCCTGTATAAAATGATAGGAGTGCTAGCCAACATTATAGTCTTTTGCAACATCGCATAGAAATATCTTAAATTTCTCGTTCACCTGTAAGCAAACCAGCAGCGTATAAGGAACGACTGCACAATAACCCAATCTAACTTTAACAAGTATGTTAATAACATTGTTCTTCCATGAAATTATTCAACATTCAAGAATTAGATATTGATAAAAACACATGAATTTAGGTACGGTTCCTTAATGGCCTTTCAGCGTTTCCATTTTGTGCGAGAATGATCCTCATTGCCCAATCAAAAGTTGACATATTGTTGGTGGCAAATATGATCCAATTAGAACTGTACCTATACGTATTGCTAGTCTTCAGGTGACATAAACAATGATATATCAAACACCATTACATGTTTCCTAAAGGCTTGACGACACTTCCTGTTGGATATACGGTAAATCTTACTGGATTATTGTTCACATCCTGAAATCGTTAGAAGGTAATGCAATTGACACTTTTGTGCTGCTGTAAACTTAGTGACAATATAAAATGTGACAGTTGGCATGGCATGAAGGTTTTAAAAGCTTACTTTAACATTTCCTGAACAACAAATACCACTTACTGAATTATTGTTTTCAAAAATATCAACCTGTATCGCCGTGTGTCGCTTTGCATGGTTTATCGTCAACAATGACATTTGTACAAGCATATGAGTGTACAATATCGAATTTTAAAAAGCGCCTGCAACAACCAATCAATCAATTACTCTATTATTTCAACTAATGCTGTGCCGATGTATTATGCAGTTTGTTATTTTCAATGGTTCTATTTAAGCTGTAAATGAAGACAGAAGTTTATCGGGAATAACAAATGCTTTGGAAAGTAACAATATATTATTAATTATCGAAAAATAAAAATAATAAAAAATTAATCAAGATAACAACAATAATCAGTATGCAAGTCGTTCCATTGAACAAACAACACACAAAATGTACATTTGACTAGTTAGGAAAGATATCACGTGTGACTCAGAGCTACAAACGTGTAGAATATGTAATGACACGTGATGACGAGAAATCGTATACCGTCCAACGGTCTATTAGCCGTAATGGCGTACCAACGGTTTCAAAGCCTCAATTTACCATAGTAATAAGCATCAGGGAAGCACAAAAAGCCTTGCAGAGGAAAAAGGACATTATTGGAGAAAAATAATCAATACTAGTTGAACGTAGAGATACGACAGAAGCAGATTGCATTCACGGGTTACTAACAACAGCAATGTGTTGTAATCAAACCGGACGTCGATGATGCTAGATATATAGAGGCGAGAATAAAATTCTGGTATCTAACAAGGACACTAAAAAGTATACGTTAAGAAATATTCTCATGACATGTATACAAGAACATGTTAACTGGTAAGTTTAACGTCCTATCAACAGCTTTGGTCTGTTAATGCCGACACCCCGATGTAAACGAGGTGAGTGTATGTATTGAATGCACGTCTTTAGGAAGCTGCAGTACATTCATGTAAGCATTTATCTTGTGATAGTGCAGACCAGAAACTGGCCTTAAGTTACAAACCACTAAAGTATACTACCGAAGGCCCCAAGTAGGACGCAGACAGCCTACGTTATACTACTGACTACGGATGAAGCAATCGTTATAAAATACTATACAATCATCGACATAAGATGTAGAAGATAGGAAATGTGACTAAACATCAATTCGAACATCATGGCTGTTTAAAAGAGGAAGGTAGCAGATGTTTAATAACATATCATCCTCGATACAAAACCAACAACCAACTACATAGAAAATAAACATGACGTCAAATCGGGATAAAAGAGGACGTTTTTGAATGGTTGAAGTCGCTATGAAACATTATCGTGTTTACAAGAGAACTGGCCCTGCGCGAAGGGAGTAAGAATTCTACCAGCTTTCTCGGTGACATTATCGTGAAAGGTAACTCTACCTCCGATCTTTATCGTTTTCTCTCCTTTCTAAGGACCATTTTCTTCCTAAGTTCTTTTTTGGCATTACCTCACTTATTGTCCGCCTAAGTGTGTAATGATATTGGTAATGCCACTAGCCATGCTATGCCAAAATCATTTACATAGTACTTCGTGTGGTGCCCATGCTCGTCTTTCAACATAGACTGAGATACACCACAACAGCTGGTCAGCCCGTCGTCGGTAAATGATTGGATGTTGTGACATCAAACCATATCAATGATTTTGTTTTGTTTTTAACACCGTCCGATCAACATTTATGATCATTTGAGGACGGTCATGCCCCTGTAATGATATTTCATTATGATAACACTTTAGTAGCGTCCGTTATTGAACCCTTTATCTGTGAAAATCGTATGTAAATGACCAAAGGAAAAAATACAAATCATTTGATTATACTACATTACATGTCGCCATGGTGACATCCCTCAAATCAATACTGCATAAACTAAGATTTGAAATAACATCATTCCTCTTAACATGATCTCGTCACATGGATTTTGAAAATTGATATTTCAATACTCTACAGCTGTGTTATACAGCCGAGTTGTGTTTAGTAGCAGAGGACTATGGATTGAAGTAGTCAACATGGACATTTTCCTCTCTTGTAAACATATGCGCGACTCTGTCACAAACGACACAACTGATGATGCAGTTATGAATTATGAATTTCCCTTAGAGCTTTGGCTGTATAGCTCATTAACTCGATCGAGAAATCAATATCGAGTAATGCTAACGCTGATTGAACACTATGGTAGCGGCTAACAGCATCCAACATCTAGGAAAATTACCTCGCCCCTACAGCTATACATAGAAAAGTCAGTTAATTAAAACCTGTTCTGATTTCAGCATGATTATACAATTTTACTGAACCGCATTCACTGGCATATATCTCCAGGTAATTACTTAATGAAACAGCATGCGGTGCATGTGCATACGTGTAAAAAGCCTTGGAGCACAGAAAGTCTCCAAGACATCCGACTTATATGAAAAAGTTGCGTGAAGCTGGTGCTAATTCAGGATTCTTTTTGACGCACATCCGCACAAATCAGGTTAAATTACATGTTTGGAGACTATTTCGACTGGCAATGCCAATGAAAGAAAACCCAAAGTTGTTATTGCCGAAAATCTATAACGTCATTTGATTTTGTTTTGAGACAACACGATTGCTGATATCGTTTGTTAGAGCAAAATGAGATGATATGGTAAAGATATTTATTATACATGCTGCCGGTTCTTACTTCAGTAATTCAGCTTAGGTTTTGTGACATTTTGATTCGGTATTTCCTTGCAGTACTGACCTGTTCAATGCCACTACAACTACACTAACCTGGTCAAGGCCATTACAACTACATTGACCTGGTCAAGGCCATTACAACTACACTGACCTGGTCAAGGCAATTACAACTACACTGACCTGGTCAAAGCCATTACAACTACACTGACCTGTTCAAGGCCACTACAACTACACTCACCTGGTCAAGGCCATTACAACTACACTGACCTGGTCAAGGCCATTACAACTACACTGACCTGGTCAAGGCCATTACAACTACACTGACCTGTTCAATGCCACTACAACTACACTGACCTGGTCAAGGCCATTACAACTACACTGACCTGGTCGAGGCCACAACCAAAGCACTGACCTGTTCAAGGCCACTACAACTACACTGACCTGTTCAAGGCCAGTACAACTACACTGACCTGGTCAAGACCACTACAACTACACTGACCTGGTCAAGGCCACTACAACTACACTGACCTGGTCAAGTCAATTACAACAACACTGACCTGGTCAAGGCAATTACAACTACACTGACCTGTTCAAGGTCACAACAACCACTGCACTGACCTGTTCAAGGTAACAACAACCACTACACTGACCTGGTCAAGGCACGACAACTACACTGACCTGTTCAAGGTCACAACAACCACTGCACTGACCTGTTCAAGCCAACAACCATTACACCGACCTGTTCAAGGCAAGAACATCTAATCTGACCTGTTCAGGGTCATAATCACTACACCGACCTGTTCAAGGCAACCACTACAGTGACTTGTCCAAGGTCATATTCCCTTAAGAACAGGACGAATATTAATCCCGGTTTCATGAAATCGACGAACGGACCGAAGTAGAAATCACCGGATCCCAAACATTAGGATAATCGCCTGTAGCTGAAAGGTCCAACACTCAATCTAAAATGTCCTGGCCCCTTACATTCCAGATTGTGACGACGAAAACTTCTAGCTTCACCGCGCAAAGAAATAATAATACTTCCCTATGACATCATAATGGATCGCAATCAGAGCTGTTATTTGCATACTCTGAATTATTCAAAATCTTGTAATTTTTGTTTTACTCTAAATAATACATATCTTATGGTATAATGTTAAGTTATCATCG